TCAGGTACCAGATTCCATACAAAGAAACTGACCAAACAGGAAACAAAGCACTGTTTATCACTGGGGACTTTTTCTTCCCTCAGTATCTGGCTAAGTGATTTGCTGACAAGGGACACTCAATAAACTTTGATCTTGAATAAAACAGCGGACTGGCTATCAGGAACGTTTTACCAAGACACAGGATCACAAACCTTTGGTGCACTTATATGGTACCTATAGGTATTTCAAAAATTACTTTAACAACATATGCACCAAAACCTCACATATGTTTTTCTTCACATTAAGAGAAAATATGAGCGTAACTGGTGATAAGCCCTGAGATACAGTGAGCCCAGGCTTTCAAACCATCTGGTTCTGGGTTTCCAAGTATCCACCTTGGGATACATTCTTCTGTCAGAGGAAAAAGAAGTGATCTGGACATCAAGTCCTGGCTGAGCTTCTTCCCAGGTGGGTAGAGGAAGCTGTGTCATCTACAGATCCTCAAGGTCCTTCTGCGAAGTGAATATTAAAAAGCAACCCCTGCCCTGTTAATCTTCTAGGCTGTTGCAAGCAACAAAATTGTTTTATTAAAAACCAACATGGAGTAGTTAATGCTGAAAACTTGGTTCAGAGAACACAGATCAATAAACGCCATAACCCCCCCCAAAACAAACAAACAAACAAACAAAAAACAAACCCAGCATGACTCAGAGGAACTGAGTTCCAGTCCCAGCAACTCTCCCCAGGGCTGGCTGTGCCACCTTGGAAAAGACCACTGAAGCCTCTGAGGACCAGGAACATAACACATAACGTTCATGAGCCTAAAGAGTGAAACCTCTGTAAACGCCAATTTCGTCTTTACTGGATTCCCTAGAACACCCCGCTAGGTTGGTCCTCGTGGTTCGGGGACCTCTCCGGCCCGGCAGTGGGCCCGGCACAGGTTGGGCGGTCTCAGAAACATGAAAGGTGGAGGAGAGGATGAGGAAGATCCTGCGGGGGCCGGGGGCGGGCCCAGAGCTCAGGGGAGGTGCTGCGGGCTCGGGGACGCCCGCCAGGCAGGGAGGGAGACGTCGCGGCCCCGAGCAGGAAAGGCCCGGCCACCGGGTCCTGCTCTGCGTCCTCACCTGCATGTTGGGCACGAAGCCCTTTTTGATCCTCCAGCAGTTTTTATTGATCTTTTCCAGGAACTGCAACTCATCATTGTAGTTGCGACTCATGGTGGCGACAGCGCTGTCGAAAACTTCGAAGGGCAGCTGCCGCGCTGTCCGCGTTGCCGGAGCACCGCCTTCTAGGGATTAGCGCGCAGGCGCGGCCGACTCCACCGCCAGACGAGCGACGGCAAGCGCCGAGGCTCGAAACTCTTCTCCCCAATCGCGTTCCTCTCGTTTAAACTGCCCTTTAGTGTTTAGCTTTTTGGATCTCTATTACTGTAGTCGATTTCCTCTAGGCTACGGCTAAGCTAAATCCTGTGGGTTTTAGTATGATCTAGGTTGCGCTTCGTTTTGGAAGTGCTTTTCAGCATCTTATGGAAACACCTTGAATCTGGGTCAAGTTCAACTTATCTAGTGAACTCATCAGCTTGGAATTTACATCCCCAGCGGTAAAGAGATACGCCTGCAGCTGATAAGCATTTTTGAATAAACATCACATCTGAAAATTTATGATGTTTCAGAATGAACCTGTGGACGTACATCAAATAACTTTCCTATCAGCAAAGAACGTCCCAAAGACTGAAACATGACAGTTTATCATTTATTCCAACAAACACTTGTGGGAGCATTTGTTATGGCCAGACGCCTGCTGCAAAGATGAGTAAATCACAGTCCTTGCGGATCGCCTGAGCTTCCCAGTCTAGCCTTCCGTGATGATTAAGTCCTTTGGGATCATGCTTTCACAAACTATGCCTCTTGTTCATAGTGATAAGTGAGCTTTAAGCGATTTCACTTTCCAGTCCTGCCTCATGTAAGCATCAGCAACTTTGGAATTGGGAAGACTTGGATTGATTTCTCTCTGTGTCATTTACTGTCTTTGTGGGATTAATCCTTCTTAACCTCTGTTTCCTCATCTACAAAATGGGATCCGAATTCCTGATAGGGTGGTTGTGAAGACTAAATGGGATGGAATAACCAGCATGGGGCTGGGCACTTGGCAAGCACTCTGTGAGCTGCTCTCTTCGGTTTTCCTACCACTCTAAGCCCTACAAATCACAGTTTATTGTGTCTATTCATTTCTTACATTATCTACTTGAGTTCCCCTTTCCTCTTCTGCCCCAATTTCACCCATTGATTCGGTGCTTTGACAACATTAATATCATTATCAACTATGAATTGTCTAGGTTTGGTATTCTGTACTGCCTTTTCATTGAATCTGTTGTTGGGGAGGGCAACATCCTAAAACTTAAAAAAATGATGCAAATTCCAGAGTTTCCTGTGATCACCCTATTTCTTACTGGAAACATTTCAGAGGCAAAGAATTCCCTTTTAAAATCAAGCCTTGACATCTGCACAATCTCAGTTTTGTCAATGTTAAAAAAATCTAAATTCTCTTCCATTTCCTATGTCTTATTTAAAAAGTTCAGAGCAGGAAACGTCTCAAATAAAGAAGCAATATTGACATTGATAGAACACAATTTTAATTAAACATAGGGAGCAGTAACAGTGAATATAAAACATAACATCCATTTTATCTGAAGGCTCTGGGGTGGGGATGGGAAACAAAAAACAGAAAAACATAATATTTAATATACAGGTAAGGGAAAAGCCCTAGAGAGCTAGAGGGATCTGCCCCAATACAAATACAATCAATATAAATATGGACTCGAGAGTTTCTTACCCACCTGGTCAGAAGTACACGCCTAGCTCTGGTCTCAGAATCTTTTTTGTCCCAAACAAACACATATAAACACAGGCACACACGCATGCATACACTCACATTCAAACACCTCTATTCAGCCCATTAACACAGCTTGCCACGTTCCAGGTCCCTGAAGGCTTGAGAAGGAAAACTTTCTGCTTAAGCAATTCACAAGGGCTTTAAAATCGCAGTGTGTGCTGTCTTCCCTCTCTGGGTTCACAGTAGCTGTGGGATTAAGGGCCATGTATTCCCCAGGTACAGTGCAAATGGAAATCAAGGGGCTGGCTTCCCCCTCCACTGTCTGCTTATCAGGTTCAGACCTTCCCAACCATGGAAGCTTGGCTGCCGCTTTGAGGATGTTTCATACTTCAGGTCGGTGGAAATCAAAAGGAAACCCTGGAAAGGATGCGACAATGAAGATAATCAAACATCAAACTTTGGGCACATCTGGTTTTGCCGGAGGGGTGACAGATGGTTTCTTTTCCAGGTTCTGCTGCATCAGACTTTCCCTACCCTTGTCTCCTTTGTGAGTGCCTCAGACCAAGGAACAGGCCATTTGGGAGTACTGTCATCTGATGTGACTTCAGCAGCCATAGAGGGGTGGGAGGAGAGGCAGGGAGATAAGAGGGAGTACATGGTAGTGTACAGGATTGGAGAATTCCTTCAGAAATTTATTTCCACCTCCTCATTTTTAAAAAATGCCAAAAAGAAAGAAAAAAAGGTGTTCTGAAGTTAGTTTATAATGATCAACCAGGAGACAGCTCTCAACAGATCCCTGAACCCAGAGGAGGGTCTTTGGTTTAGGGGGAAGTACACTGACTGGGAGAATCAGATGGGCTGATCTTGTTCTAGCCACCTGAGTCACTTCTCCTCTCTGACCTCTACTTTCCTCACCTACAAAACAGGACTAATAATCCCAGCCTTACAGGTTGTCTTGTAGAGTAGGTAAAATAAGGCATGCTAAAGAGCATCTTCTTGCACTGTGGAGTGAGTAAGTTTGGCTACTAAGCGAAATTGGTCTTGGTCTGGTTTTTAAACTGAAGTTTTTCACTGTTATTTGTGATTTAAGAGCTAAACATTTTGTTCATAAAACTGCTTAGCCTGGGAAAAAATAAAGCAGGCAAAATAAAAAATAAAGCAGGGCGAGGCTTATTCTATAAAAAACAGGGTCTGTTAAGAGGCTATTTGCATTCTTACCTCAAGAACTTCAATATCTGAATTGACAAGTGAGATTTTGTGTGGGTTGGGCAGAGGGAATCCTTGCTGCAATTTTGCTGAAATAGAGAACAAGATGTAAAATAATTAAGCACAAGCACAGAGGTTTTAGTAAACTTTATAGTAAGAGACTGACAAGCAGCTTTTTAATAATAATTTATCTTTTTGTTCTTCCAGGATCCATATTTCCATTCTTTCTGATATGTCTCTAGCATTTCCTGGAAGAATTGTTAATTAATCCATCCATGTTTAATAAAAATGCACCTGCTATTAAGTGCATTTGGAAAGCAGAAAAATGCTTTCCATTTGCAACTTGCTCAACTTATTTTGAAAATAACTAATTAGTAGGTCCTGAGAACATTTCAGTGTCTAATATTAAAAGTATTTTAACTGAGACAAACTGCAGATGCTGCAGTTTGTGAACAATTGCAGTGCAAGGAGAAAGCCCAGGACTGTCATTCATTAAAACTGTGTCTGTCCAGTTAATGGTCCTGTATAAGAACCATAAGATACTCTCTAGGGAAAATAATCTCAATTTCTAGTTGACTTGAGGGAGACTCTTTATTGCCTAAAAAGAGTGCTTTCAATCTCCTTAACTTGAGTTAGCCATTCTTGCTGAGTTCGCAAATAGAGTTGCTAACAAGGATTGGGCCCGGAATAACTAATTTTGCAATCATATCATTCATTGATGGTACAAATTTTGTAAATTCTGGCTGTGGCCTGGATTCATAATAACATTCTAGAAGTACAGGCTTCAGGGTGGAAAGTCCCAAAGAAGCACCAACGTTTAGCCAAATCAGAGTCACAGCGTTTCCCAAGGATTCCTTACCATTGGCCAGCGGGAGGACTCCAAAGTGAAGAATGGAGGACAGAATATTTTCAAATTTCAAGACCTAAAATAAAAGAGGAAATGGAATCAGTTGCCAAATCAGGGCACTTTGAAAGTACGATGCTCGGTTTGGACATGTACTTTCCCAGAACTTACCAATATAGCAAGTGATACTTAGAATCTCCCCATAGGGATATACTAGCTTTGTAGGAAGCCATATCACAGGAGTTCCTAATTTTTCTCCCTTGGGAACAGTTTTCTGCTCCCCTTTGCATTGGAGCTTGGTGATGGCAAATGCAGGGGGTCTGCATGGTGGCAGCACATGTGGCAGCTCAGATATGTACCAAAACAATCAAGAACAACTGATACATTTCCCAATTAGCAGTCTTCCTTTATTTATTGGGAACCCCAGCTACAGGAGTTCTCTTGCATCACATTATGCTCTGATACTAATGGCATTACCAGAACACCCAATTTATCTTTAATAAACTATGATAGATCTATAACCTATGCAAAGGATTGGTTCCTGGGAAGATTCAGGTATTAAAAACAAATGAACCATGATGAACATCAATTCATTCAATGAATACTTGTTGAGCATCTTACAGGCTTAATAATAAGAACCTTTTTGCAGCTTAGCAAGGGTGGCTCTGAAGTCAGACTTGCCAGGTTTACCTCTTGTCTTACCATTTACTAACTATGTGATGTTGGGGAAGTTACTTAACCTTTCTGTGCCTCAATTTCCTCCACTGTAAAATGAAGATAATAGTGCTAATCTCATGCGGTTGTTGTCATGATTAAACAAGTTAATATTACATGAAATCCCTGGTATATACCATTGCCATTTTTTCAGAAATGCCATGGTTAGCACATTCTGCTGTGGGAACTAAGAAGTTTACCTGGGTCTTCCTGGAACACTTGGACTCATTTTGTTGCTTCTTCTCTGGACTCAGGAAATACTATTTATTTGTGAGGAAGTCAGGTATGCATTCTTATGGACAATAGCCTGTCATCTACCAAATGGCTATGTCATGGGGTTGCTAACCCACAGTGCCTGGGACAATACTAATATTTTAGACCTCAACTATGAAAGATATGGCTTATTTTCCAGCTATTGACACTACTGTTCCAGGCTTCTAATCTTCCCAACCTGAAAATCAGGATGCTTCTCTAAAATTAAATAAACAAACATACATATATACATCTATTTGGCCTCCTGGCTAAATGCTCTGACTTCTTCGCTATTTTCTTCAGATCTATCAGGACCTTATAGCTATTTCTGTTGAACGTGATAATAATTTCAGTATTTACCATGTCCCTGGCACTTGCTTGTGAGAAATTAAGTGATCTGTCCAACGCCACATAGCCAGTAAGTGGGAGTTCACTCTTGCAGTTTGGCCTCAAAGTTTATGTATGAAACTATTATGCTATACTGCCCTTTGACACAGATGTGGCAATGATGGAAATAATTATTATAAATATAAAAACAATGGCCATCATTTATTTAATGCCTACCGTGTAGTCAATGTGCTAAGTGCATTTCATACATAATCTCATTGAATCCTCTCAAAAATCCCAAGGTTGTAATCCTCAGCTCCATACCAACTCGTATTATCTATTCTGATTTATCTTTCTCTGTAGTATTTTTCAGTAAATACAATATATATTTATTTGTTGTTTGCTACCCTCAGCCTGTCACACACACCTCTACCCATTAAGTGCTTATAGCATCCCTCCTCCCAACAGAAAATGTCTTCAGACATTGCCAAATGTCCCGAGGTGGCAAAATAGACCCTAGTTCAGAATCAGTGCTCTAGAATGTAAGTACCTTGAGGGTAGGGACTTTATCTGCTTTGTCTAGAACAGTGCCAGGCTCAATAAGTATTTGTCAATGAATGAATACTATTCTTATTATATTTATTTATTTATTTATTTTGAGACAGAGTCTCACTCTGTTGCCCAGGCTAGAGTGCCGTGGCATCAGCCCAGCTCACAGCAACCTCAAACTCCTGGGCTCAAGCAATCCTCCTGCCTCAGCCTCCCGGGTAGCTGGGACTACAGGCATGTGCCACCATGCCCGGCTAATTTTTTCTATATATAATAGTTGGCCAATTAATTTCTTTCTATTTATAGTAGAGACGGGGGTCTCACTCTTGCTCAGGCTGGTTTCGAACTCCTGATCTTGAGCGATCCTCCTGCCTCGGCCTCCTAGAGTGCTAGGATTACAGGCGTGAGCCATGAATGAATACTATTAATAGTAATAATTAACATTTATGTAGGACTGCCCATGAACCAGGCACTGCTCTGCCCAGGCATTCTGACACCAATACCCATGCACTCAGCTTCTCTACGACTGTGTCATCCATGAAGGCATGAAGTGGTGATATGGCTGCTCTTCCTGAAGCCCGAGGGAGGGGGTTTCCACGCTGCATGGTGGGGGGTTCTCTTCCAATCAGGAATTCACTAGGCTAGATCTCCACCCCTCAACAGAGCTGCCTACACAGCCAGCCTTGATCAAATTTTAGGAGATGAGTAGAAAGCATTCAAAGAGAAAACTTAATCACGGCCTAATAATTTACACATGGCCTCTTCCTCTGGGATTCTGGACTATAAATTTAACTTTGGAGGATTATTTTATTGCAAAAACGAAATCTCCCAAGAATGCTTATTTTCTAGCATTATACAATGTCTTAACAGTCCTTCGAATATTTTTAAAAAGTTTTTCTGCATAAAGTAAAATGGAGAGTTCCTCTCTTGTTTAATAGTTGATGATTTCAATCTATGAGTAATAAAGAAGTTCAAAGTTAAAACCTACAGTCGTGGAGAAATAAAAAACTCAGAGGCATAAAAAACAATCAACCTGTTACCATAAACGGTAGGAGAATTCTCATTCTCCCACTGCTAGGGAACCTGAGAGCTGATTCCTACCTCAATATTGCTGCGATTGGGCTCTGGCAAAGAGAGGCGGAATCTAAAAGAAAAGAGGAAAACGTTAAAGGAGGGTAGATATAAAAACAACAACTTTAGTAGAAAGAAACAAAAAGGAAAGGGGATTTTTTGGTTGTTGTCCAAAAAGTCACTATTTGAAAAAAACACAAACCTGGGAGGACACAGAGTTCCATTGCATCTTCTACCCCTATATTTTGCTGTTTAAGAAGCATAGCAGGAATAGCAGAAGACCTGAGTTTGTAACCAAGGTGGGTTCCCCAAGTCCATTTGCTATGTGGGACTTAGTGTTGGCAACTTGGAATGCAGAACAATCCTAAGAAACAGTTCTCAGGTCTTCTGGCTCTGAATTTAATCCTATAACTTCCCTGACCCCTTATAATGCCAGCCTACTTGACTCTAAATCCTATGCTCAGTCTAGATTGCACCCCTAGAAGGCCATACCAGTGTTTTAGTTGTTTAGTTGTAGCACACAAGGTAAACATTAGCTAAGAGACCTAGCTGATGTGAAAAGGAAATACAGTATAATTGTTAGCAGAATGCCAGAGTTTGAACCCCATTTCTGTTTTTTACTAACTCTGTAGATTTACCTCATTTCTCTGGATCTTAATTTTCTCAATCATAACATATGAGTAAGCATATGTGGGATGACTATATTTAACAATAATGTATTATGTAGTTTCGAATAGCTAGAGGGAGAACATTGAATGTTCCCAACACAAAGAAGTGAGAAATGTTTCAGATAATGGATATACTAATTGCTCTGATCTGATCACTGTACATTGTGTTCTTTGAAGCATCACTATGTACCCCATGAATATGTACAATTATTATATGTTGATTAAAAATACAATTAAAAGAGAATAATACCCACCTTCTAGGGCTATAGTAAAAATTGAATGAGATCATGTATATAAAATTCTCATGTGCCTAGCATAGCCTATCATTCTATAAACGACAGCCATTTTTATAATGAGGAAAAAATGCTAACAGGTAGGAAAGCACATAAAGTTCTTGATATTCATTGTCAAATACCAACAGAGCACTTGCTGCAGGTCCAAGCAGCAGGGAGTCAACCCGGCCCCAACCTGGTAAGGGTGGGTGACAGCATGTGCTGATGCTTTGGGGATTTTCACGAGAAAGATGCCAACATTGTCCCTTTCCCAATTTTGCCAAAGGCTGCTCCATAGGGTCCCGCCAATATAGACACTTGATTTTCTATGCAATAGTATTAGTAACATGAAGAAATAGTAATTGATGGGGGGGGGGACTCCTTCAACTTGCAATGTGGAAACTGATATCCAGGGAGGAGAAATATTAATGGCAGATTTGGGACAGGGACTCAGATCTCTCGATGCCCATCTTAGAGCTCCCTTCCTTTAAAGGATGCTGCCTTGTCTAGCTTTCCCTCTGAGCTTTCCATGCCTCCCTTCTGCACCAGCCTTTTAATGACTCTCCCTGTCTCCAGTCTTGATCTGCTCCAACCCACCTTCCACACCGCCCCTAGAGGGAGCTATACTACAGACATGTCGAGTGAAGGTACTCTCTTGATCAAAATTCTTTAATGGCTTGTGATAAAGCCCAAGTCACTCGAATGGCACATGAGATTTCCCATACCCTGGCCCCCAGTTGCCTCTCTGCCCTCATCTCTTTGTTCTCTACCTTGAATTTTGTCCTCAGTAACTCTGAACTGCTTGGTGCTATGCTGTTTTATTCATCAGGTGCTACAGATCTAAGGTTAAAAAAATGCATTGATTGGCTTTAACACACATACAAAAAAAAAAAATCCTGAAAAATTAAAATCAGTACATGTCTACAAAAAATAACCCCGTGGCCACAAGTCACTATAACTCAGCCCATACATAGTTAGATGTATTTAATGTGGACTGCATTTGAATATATGCAATATATTTTGGGCTAGAGTCTCCAAACATTAGAGTGGCTAAGGCCAAAGGAGATCTTAAAACAATGGTGAGGCATTTCCTTGCACATTCCATGATACTTCTGGCCTCAACACCTTTGCTCATTCTGTTCCCTCTTTATGGACTTGCTCTTTCCCTTTATCTTTGACTGGTTAACTCCTTTTAGGGCCAGGCGCGGTGGCTCACGCTTGTAATCCTAGCACTCTGGGATGCTGAGGTGAGGTGAGAGGATAGCTTGAATTCAGGAGTTTGATACCAGCTCTGAGCAAGAGAGAGACTCCGTCTCTACTAAACATAGGAAAAAAACAATTAACCAAGCAGAAGGATCCTTGAGCCCAGGAGTTTGAGGTTGCTGTGAGCTAGGCTGATGCCACAGCACTCTAGCCCGGGCAACAGAGTGAACACTCTGTCACAAAAAAGGGGAAAAAAAAATAACTTCTTTTAGTTGCTTAAGATTTAACTCAGGTGTTATGTCTTCTAAGAATCTTTCATTCTTACTATCTCTAGATTCATCACTATGTTGAAACAGCAGATTTCATAGAAGAGGTAAGTTTGCATGTTATTAGCTGATATCATGTTAGTATGAATTAGGTTTTGAGATTGCTTCAAAGTGACAAATAAGAGTCAAAACGAGAAGGACAGTTATGTTTGGCAAGGATCAGAGATGACATCACAGAGTGGCACTGAGGCTCAAACAGATTGCCATAAAAAGCGAGGACCAGAATCCGTAGGGCATCTTTGAAGGCAACGCAGAGGAAATCTGAGGGAGATGCCTCCCCCTGGCCACACCGCCTCTTATGATGGGCAAAGATATTCCAGTGTAGAAATTCAGCCCACGTAACAGTGTGACACACCTGCCAGTTTCCCTTCTGTCTTTCATGACAAGCCCCAGTCGTGCCTGGCCACATCAAGACTGCCTAATACGGGTAAGCATGTCTGGGGTTTCCTGCGAGCCAGGCTCTCCTTTCCTCCTATGGACATCTTAATTCTGCCTCTTTCTAGTTCTCTAGGCACACTTCCCTGGTTAGTTTTACTTATGGCCACTTTTCACTAACTGCAGAGGCAGATGGAGCAAAGACCAAACTCTCCTCGTCCCCGGCTCTGAAAAACAGATACTCTCAACTCGGGCACTAGGTGGCGCCCGACTTCCATCCTTTTCTCTTTCAGACTCCACCAGGTCCCTGAGCTGTGTGTAAAGTCCTGCTACTGGGAACTGGTTCTTACGGCAGAACCATGGAGTCGTCAGGGAGGAAGGGAGCACAAACAGCCTTACTTTGCAGACATATAAAAAGCAGAGCCTAATTTATACCACAACCTATAAATATGCACAATTATTATATGTCAGTTAAAAACAAAATAAAAATTTTAAAAAAAGTTTTGAAGGTTTACCGCCTTGATTGAAAACTAGAGCTAAAGTGCAAACTCTTAAGCACGACAAAGGCCATTCATAATCTGGGTCACTATAACAAATATGACACAGTGAAGGTCAAATGTCAAGATTAAGTTTTAAAATCTCTTTGCCCCTTGATTCTGAACTCCTTGAGGGTAGAGGTCCAGTCTTAATTATCTTTGTATTCCCAGGATTGAGCACAGAGATTGGCACATTCAGGCACCTAGTTTTCTTTTATTCATCGGTTGATTCATCCAGCAGATATTTATTGAACGCTCAGCATGTGTCAGTACTGGGGCAGGTGCTGAAGATAACATTGTGAGCAAAACCAGACACAGCCACTGTTCTCATGTAGCTCACAGCCTAGTGGCTGGCAGTCCTCAATCAAATAACTCCACTAATTAAGGCTTAAGTACAAATTGAGATAAGTGCTTTGAAGGAAAGAAAGAAGTTCATTGATTCAAGTGACACAGGAATTTGACCTCACTTGGTAGACATGGGAAGGTTTCCAAGGGAGAGATCCTTGGGCTGAAGTAGGAAGGATGAGTAGGAGTCAAAAGGCAAAATGGGGAAGAGAGAGGAAAGGGGTTCAGGTAGGGGTGGTAAAGACCCCATGGAGGGAACAGAAAGCTAGGAAGAACACAGTGGCAGGACGATATTGGAGAGGCAGACGGGATTGACCAGTCTCGGTGTTTCCAGCCTTGCTAGAATTTTGATCTTTATCCTCAAAGCAAGGGATCCATTGAAGGTCTAAAGGAGATAATGTCTGTGTTTTGTTAAGATCACTCTGGCTGCGGTATGGAGAAAAGATTGGCAGGCTAAGAGTTTCCCAGGTGCTCATTCTATGCTCAGTAATGTGCTGGGCAATGTGAAGAATTGAATGTACAATCTATAATTATGAGGGATGGAGAGAAGCAGTATGTAGGAAGCAATTAGAGAACAATACAAAGCAGTGTGTATTTAGGTGCTGCTTTGTGGGTTTAGGAGCCACACAGATTTGCTGCAGGAATTCTGAAAAGGCATGAAGAGATAAAGAAACCAGTGTGGGCTACAGTGTGTGTGTGTGTGTGTGTGTGTGTGTGTGTGTGATATGGGGAATTTGTGTGGGGGAAATAAGCTGCCCTTAGGCAGAAGCAGTCTGTACACATCTCTAGCATGCCCCTCAGCACCCAGTCTTATAATTGCCTGTTAATGTAGTGTTTCTGTCACCAGTCTGCGGCCTGGATGGTAGGAACCATCATCCTTTTCTCTGCTCTCTGTGTTAAGAACAGTGAAGAGCATACAGTAGGTGTTCAATAAATCTAACCTAATAGATTCATGAACAGATGAGCAGATAAAGGACATGGTGGGGGATGGAGTGTTTGTTGGAACTGGGGTCTCTGAGAGTGAGCCAGTCCAAAGCAGAATGACCACTTCAGGGAGCTGAGGGAGATGAGGTTGGCTGGCTTGAGAGGTAGGACCAGTAAAGGAAGAACTTGAAAATCCCAGGCTGTGCATTTAATCCAACAATGAGAAGTTCTGAGTGAAGGAATGTGTTGAACCTATTCTACTATTGAAGGACCCTCTTGTTGAGTAAGAGTTTCCCAATGTTTTAACCTCATTGTCTCCTGCAGCCTAGAAATTCTGGGAGAAGGTTCTCTTTGGGGTTGCCTTCTCCCACGAAGCTACCCCACTGTGGCATTCCTCTGCCCAGGCTTCGACAGCAGCTCAGAG